TCCCATCTCTCCCACTTCAGCTTCCTCCCAGGACTACCCTTCTCCTTCTCTTCTGCCTCCTCCAAAACTCTCTCCCATCTCAAGGCATACCCAATCCCACACCCAATCTCAGCCCCCTTCCCATGGCATCTTTCCCCTCAGGGAGGTGGCAGGCATGGATGGGATTGTCAAAGTCCATGTGCCTTTCTCTCTTGGAGATCTATCTCAGCTAGAGCGCAAAATAGGCTCTTTTTCGACCAATCCTACTCACTTCATACAAGAGTTTAAATATATTACTCGCAGCTATGATCTAACCTGGCATGATCTCTTTATGATTCTCCAGTCTACCCTCACCCCTGATGAGAGACATAGGGTCTGGACAGCGGCACAGGAATATGCTAATGAGCTTCATTCTGCTAACCAAGCTCACCCTATTGGCAGTGAGGCAGTTCCCCTTCAGGACCCCGGGTGGGATTACCAACCCCCACCGGGAGGTCAAGCAGGACCTTCCCCAGGTAGAGCAGCCAGGGACCACATGATCACTTGCCTCCTGACAGGTCTTCAGAGAGCTTCGCCCCCTAAGGTAGTTAAGTTTGAGAAGCTTAGATTGATTACTCAGGGCTCTGCTGAAACCTCAGCTAAGTTTATGGACAGACTCACTGATGCTCTGGTCCAGTATACCAAGTATGACCCAGAGTCTGTAGAGGGACAGCTTATGCTTCACCGCCACTTTATCTTACAATCAGCTCCAGACATTAGAAGGAAACTTAGGCGCTTAGACAGGGCCCTGAAACCCCCATGAGAGATCTACTGGACATGGCATTTAAAGTATTTTATAACTGAGAGGAACAGAAGGCAGACAAGCTTACCCTGTCCAAGCAAAAGTACCAGCTTATGGCTGCAGTCCTAAGGGCTCCTCCCAAGAACACTTCGAACACCAATGTGGCCCAACGACATCCGCTAGGATCCTGCTTCAAGTGCGGAGCGACTGGACATTGGGTAAGACAATGCCCTAACCCACGGCCACCACC